ACCCCCGCCTCACTAGCACGCGGGGGGCACACGCGCGACACCCCCGCCTCACTAGCACGCGGGGGGCACACGCGCGACACCCCCGCCTCACTAGCACTCTCGTGATTCGGGCGTGTGAGTACGGCGGTTTACGGCCGCTCTGCGCTCTCTCTTCTCTCTATAGAGGAGTTTAGGACCGGTTTAGCTTTCGCGTTTCGGGTACACCTTAAAGCCGTACGTAAACCGTGTGTGCATGCGCGTGGTTCTCGTCGTTCAAGCTCTCTGCCCAGAGCTGCCGCGCCACCCACGCCCACCCCTCCCGCCGCGTCCGCCCCGTCCGCGACGCGGACCGACCGCCGCTGCCGCGTTCGCTGGCTGCGGATGCACTACTGCATCCGCAGGAGCCTGCTGCTGGTAGACAAACGTCGTCTGCACCGCCACGTGCGCTCCAGCGGCAGCGATGGGCAGCGCAGGCTGGCGGCAGGTCGGGCACTTGGTGTCGCGCTCCAGCACGCGCAGCGCGCAATCCTCACAGTACAGCGCGTGGCCGCACGCGAAGCGGACGGAGCGCGGCGCGTCCCAGCAGAGGTCACACTGGCGCTCCTCCGCTGCTGCCGTCTCCTCCACCACCCTCGCCGCCTCGACCAGCGCCTCCAGCCGCGGCATTGCATCCGCGAGCGGCATCCGCTTCGGTTTCCTCTCGTACGCCAGCCCGACCACGAGCCGCGTCAGCTCCTCGGCCTGCGCCGCCGACCAGCCCGCGTCGGCCGCCGCGATGCCCTCCGCCGTGTCGGGCTCCTCCAGGGCAGCTAGCACTCGTCGAGGAGGCCGACGGCGGCGCGGCCGGTCAGGGCGAGGACCCTCTTCCCAAGAGCACCACTCTTGGAGCGCCGCCACTACCACCCAGAGCGCTGCAAGCAGCGCCGGGCAATGACGGCTTACCGCCCACCCGGCCCCCCCTCGGCACACCCCGGCAGCCAATGTGTGACGGCTCGTACCCGCTAAGCCATCCCGCAAGCGGGATGGCCCGCCACTCGAACCCGCAAGCGGGCGTACGAGCCGCGAGCGGCTCGCACTCGTGACACGCAGGCGTCCGACAGACGGCGCCGGGGCTAGGCGACCGAAGAGGGACTACGGCAAGAACCGCACACCACCCGCTGACGAGCGCTCGCGGAACTGGTCCGCGGCGCCCGCCAGGGGGGCGTGCGCGAGACAGGGCTCGGAGCCCTTTTCTGTGAGCAGGGATTCCCTCCCGGCGGGGGTTGTGGCGGAGAGAGAGCCGGCATGGGAATCGCCGGACCCCACCCAGGGGGTGCCCCTGCCAGGCGCCGCAAGCGGTGCCCGACCGGGGCGGGTGCCCCCACCCCGAGGGGTGGGGGCGGGGTCGGGGTCCAAAGTGATTGTGCCTGTGTCGAAGAGGGCAAAGGCTTGCACATGTTGTCGTTGCTGCTGCTGCTCAGCTCCAGCGGGGCGTCTGCAGCGCCCTCGGAGGTCCACCGCCTGACACCTCTTCGGAATGCGCTGACACGCATCAAAGCCAGAAACGCTTACCTCTGCACCACCAATACGGACACGAGCTCGTGGAACTTGGGCGGCACGCCGCGCTTCCAGGAGAGGCCTTTGGAGGACGGTGCCGTGATGTCGCTGCTCGCTCCCGTGTACGACTGCCCGTGGACGCTTGAGCGCACCAATTTCGTCTCTGAGTTCAACTTCGATGGGGGCAAGTGGACATGCGGCGTCAGCGAGATGCGGCAGAGTGGACGACCGTGCGTCGTGTATTCATTCGGCTCGAATGCCGACTCCGCATTCGAGGATGGAGTGCGCCGCACAAACCCCGCATGCGAGATCCACATCTTTGACCCGACTTCAAAGCCGCCGCCACGCTTCCGCGAGAAGGGGTACTCTTTCCACGAGATGGGCTTGTGCAGTGAGCGGACGAAAGCAAACGGCGGATCGACGATGAAGTGCGACACCCTCAGCAGCATCATGCGCACGCTCAACCACACGCACGTCGACATACTCAAAGCTGACGTGGAGGGCGAGGAGTACTCGTTCTTTACGAGCGAGCCGTGGCACAGGCATGCGTCGGCCGTCGGCCAGATACTCCTCGAAGTGCACCTGTTCATGAGAAGCGCCATGCGGCTGCCCGCCTTCCTTCGATCTCTCCGTCCGCTCGAGCGAGCTGGCTTCTTCGTCCAGACACTCGAGCCCGTTTCGGCCTTGGGGACCGCATACGAGATGAGCTTCCTTAATGTCAACTGGTTCCCAGTGGATCGCAAGCCGCACATCAGGCCTAGGCTGTACGTGCCTTCGATGTATCCCGCGGATGCGCCTTGCCCACTCTACCCGCCCGTGGGCTCGCCGGGCGAGGAAATCTTCTGCGGGTATCCGGCGGGGCGGACAAACTACTCTTGTGACTGCGGTGTGCAGTTGGATGACACCGATGAGTGCGCCGTGTCGCTCGTAGAGCAGCGCAGCAGGTCACCATGCGCGTATGGAGTCAGCTACGGCTGCTACCCTGGCGAGCCCACGCGAATCTGGACGCGTGGCTGCCGTGGGAAGTTTCGATGCCCCGTGGGCACACCGATCGCACCGATACCGATCGCAGGCCGTGAAGAGCCGTCCGTCCACCTTCCTGCAGACGTTCCGGCTCTCTCGACAAGGTAGTTCGAAAAATGGTAAATGTACTGTGTCTTGTACGGTACTTTAGTACTCGGTATACTGTTGAAGGATAGTAGTGTGGCAGTGTGGTCGGAGGGCGCCCGGGTCGCCCCGGAGCGGCCCCGCGCGGGGAGGTGGGTGGACGTGGAGAGCTGGAGAGGGCGGGCACCACGGGCACGCCATCGGGCTCTCGCCTCCTCCGACAACTGACCCCAAGCCTCCTTCCCGGGTCGCGCTCGAAATAAAGAATAATTCGCCGCGGCGGGATGTGTAGGGGACCGAGAGCGATGTGTCATGTGTGTCCTTGCGTTTCTTCAACAAGGCTGCTCAAAAAGAAACCCCGAGGGAAATGGAGTGTGTGTATCGCGCGGAATGAGCGATAGCCCCGCGAGGTACGAGCGGGGCGGTAGCCTTTCTTCACATACTGAGTTCAGCAGTCACGAGAGATGAAAGGGGTGCCAGCACCCCGCGCATGATAGGGTGCCCACAGGACCCAAAAGAAAATAGCTTTCCGCCTCAAAAAGGGACGCACGAGGCAAATCTGATGTTGGATTGTTCCAATAGGAGCGAGGCCTCTTCCGTTGGGGGACCGAGCACATGAAAATAAAAAAATAGATATTCTTACCTTCTTGCCCCCCTCCGAGACTGGAGACACCCACACCCCAGTATCAGACCAGGGGGACTGCCCCCCGCCCCCGCTTGCCCTGACTGCACAGGATAGCGTGCCCCAATTGGCGACACATAGCAAGGGGCACTGCGCAAGGAGGGGGTGCGTCGCCTTTCTTTGTCCTCTCGAGGGAATGTTCTCTCGACGCCCATGGCCTTTTTCTGAGGTTTCGTACTAATGACGTCCTTCTTGGCACTTCGGGCGTCGGTTGTGCGTTCTGTGGTGTCTAATTCCCTCGGTAATGTGTTACCGCCGACATGATCGTGCAGACATCGCCATTGCCCGGCGCATGCTCGTTGAGCCAGTAGCAAACATCCTTGGCCATTCGTGGCCCCTTGCGTCGTGCGGACGCCGAGACCAGCACCTCCTCGTACCCGTTGACTGCAGGTGCCGTGATGGCGTCGTCCGTTGAAAGCGGAGGCATCCGCTTCGGAGGCACGCGAAATAAAAAGCGCTGCTCGTCAAGATGGCGGCGGTGGCGATTGCGGCGACAAAGGTAGTGTCGTCGCTCAGGCGTCTGTTATCTGTCGTCTGTTGTCGCATTTCGCACACGCGCGCGCCGCGCGACCCGCGTCGCTCCGCGAGGGCATGAGCCTTCCGCGATTCGATCCCGCAGCGGCCGACTCTACCATCGCGGCCGCAGCTGTTGAGCTCTCCAGAAGACTGGTGCCTCATATGAGCTGCCTCCCTGCGGATGCTGCCGGCGAGCCGGGCGGTCCGCTGTACTACAAGGAAGTGCTGACTCATTTCTACCTCGAATTCTTCTACCCCCACGACTCGGAACGCGAATGTGACAGCCAGTCCTTCAGCCACCAAAGTGAGATCACCCGAGAGCACGGCTGAGCCTGCCTCTGGCCTCGCCTCCCTCTCCTTCAGGCATTCGTGGCATCCTATGGGTCGTCCAGAGTATCGACCTCTGGCTTGTCAGTCGCGGTCACTTGATGACCCCCATGAAGTACAGCGATCGCCACCTCGCTGGCCTCTCCGCAAGGCCCCCCGACCGCGTCGAACTCATCGGCGCGGGCTCTCTCGGCTACGGGACCGGCCCCAGCTTCGGCTGTGGCGGTGGTGGGCTGAGGGCTAACAAGCTAGCTGCCGAGCCCAAATCACTGTGCAGCGTGATTTCTTGTTCGCGGTCAAAAATCTCTCTCAATGAGGAATGAGGTCAACATCTTGTAAGATCATCTTCGGCCCCATCTTCGATCACTAAATCAACGGACACCTCTCAAGGTCTACTGTGAGATGGGTAAAAAGGGACAGGTCCCCGCACTGTCTGTCTCGTGTATGTAGTCTGTCGTCGGATCGCGGCTTCATTTCGATCGATGCCAGTCCCGTGCCCAGTGAGCAGTGTCGCGAGAGAGAGAGCTTTGTTGTAAAATCTCGTTTATCCTGTCTCCCTGTCTGTGTGTATGTATAGAGGAAGGTGAAGAACACTATGCAGGTCCTTGGAGCACTTGGAGTGCAGTCATTAACCGCACATCCAGGGCCGGGGAGCTCAGAAGCGCACCCAGCGGGCCGGATGATTGGCATCGGGTTACGGGCTAGAGGGGTGCGCGTTCCGTGCTCCATTTTCTTTATTTGGAGGGAAAACACGGCGCTTCAACACGCCGCGCAAGAGCGACCGCCCATGGGTAACAAAGTCAGCTCGCCGGGCAAACGGGTCTCAAAGGCGGCCGTC